AGGATTATATGTGTAATCATGAATGAGAATATTGGAGGTAACACTTAAAAATAAATTAAAAAAAAATGCAGTACAAGCCTTCCCAGGAAAGGCATGCGATTTTTCACCTGGTACAACCACGAAAATGTTTTCCAAGTTAGAGAACGTAATCACGGCCGTTTGCACAAGTTTTATTATATGCGTTGCTGAAAAATTGTTTTAAATTTAATAACTACATAAGAAATTAAACTTAAATAGAAAACAATAATAACAGTTTAAATAATGTGTGTGTTGTTTTTATTTTTGTTTTTTCTTAGTGGTTATAATTATCGGTAACAAAAGTCAAAGCAAATAAAAATAAAATAATTAAAAAAAAAAAAAAACGGTTTTAGGCGTCAAAAAGGATGACTTTCCCATATTTTATGTGTTTTTTCTTTTAAAGAGGAAAGAGAAAATATGTATCGTCATCTGTTTGTAAAATATATTTGTATAATTACAATGTAACAAGTTTATATCAAGAGTTAAATTATACAATCGTGATTTGCAAACTCTGGTAAAATATTGTGTACTTTGTTTATAAGAAGCTGCGTACTTTGTTTATAAGGAGCAAATTATTAAAAGTTTGATAGCAAGAAAGTTACCAAAAACAAAACAAAAACAATAAACTTACAACTACAAAAGTAATAACACTTTAGTCACTAACTGCATTATAAAAGTAATAAAACTATAGTGTTATTACATTTATAAAGCACTTATTACTTTTAAAGTTCATTCTTTGTTCAAACAACATTATTAATTCCAAACATTTATTAAAGTAGAAAAGCATCTAGAAAAAATAAAGCGGGTATTTAAATATTATTAAAAACTTCAGGAACTTTCACAGATCACTTAAACAACGTTATAAAAAAGTACTTTATAAAAAGCATAGCATTATGAAAAATGTTACGTAAAAACACGCATTTATTTTAAAATCAACTAATAAAAAATTTTTATTGGTTAATTTTAAAATTAACGCGCATTATTACAGTCCATTAGTATCGTTTTTCATAATGCTAAACTTTTAATATGATACATTGTTATAAAGTTGTTTGTCACGTTTTTATAAGTTATTTAAGTTTTAATATTATTTGAACATCCACTTTATTCTTCTAGATATTTTTCTACTTCAATTAAAATTTGGGAACACTAATGTTGTTTGAACAAAGAATGAATTTTAAAAGTTATAAGTTTGTTATAAAAGTAATAACACTATTATAGTGTTATTACTTTTGCAATGCAGTTAGTGATTAGAGTGTTATCACTTTCGTAATCGTAAGTTTATTGTTTTATATTTGATTTTTTCGCTAACAAATTTAAGTTGATTCTCACTTTAAAAAGAAGGAGCACGGTTTTGTATAAACTAAAATTTTGAATACTAGATATTTTTCCAGATTTTGCGTTTTGCATTCGCTTAATTCAACCCTTGTTGTTACATTAAAGTTATACAAATAAATTTTACAAACATATTGCAATTTGTATTTTTGCTATCCTCTTAAAAAAAAACTAAAAAAGAAAAATCATTCTTTTTAATGTAGACTTCAAACTGTTTTTTTTTGCTTCGCCTTATCTAATTTTGTTGCTGAATGTAACAACCACTCTAAAGAAACAAAAATAAAAACAGAACACAAACTATTTAAATTATTAATTTGTTTATATTTTTTTCTACTTCAATCTCTTTTTATTTTGTTAGTTTTGTTTTTTTTGTTTTTGAAACTTTTTCAGCATTATTATAAAACTAGCAATCGGCCGTGTTCAAGTTGTCTAAAATAATATACTCGCGTGTGGTTATACAAGACAAAAAACCGCACATCTTTCCTGGGAAGGCTTGCAGTAACATTAATATTGCTAAAAGGTACCAATTTTACAACTAGTTTTTTTAGGGGTGCAAAAATCCATTGTAAACATAGTTGGACCTGTTCTTGCAGCAAACCTCCAACCATTATCACACCCTCGTATTGTTGCTTCTCTTTTTCATTTCTACAAATACTATAATGGGCACTGCTCTAAGAAGCTAGCCTATTTTGTGCCATCTACTAAAATTATATATATATATATATATATATATATATATATATATATATATATATATATATATATATATATATATATATATATATATACATATATATATATATATACCCATATAGTGTCGCTTTAAGAGCATTTTAATGTAAAAAAAGTCTCTTACGACTACAATTTTAATTACCTCGTCTCTTAAGCTGTTTTTGATTGTCATCGAAATGTCAAAGCAATTAATTTATGCGGAAGTACATTAAATTTAATTGTTTTTTTAAAAAACCGCAATTATAACGACTAGAAAGTTTTTTTTAATTAGTGGTGTTTTTGTTATTGATTTAATAAAAAACATTTTTTAAACATGCGTAAATGTTGCTACATCGACTATCTTATAGCCTGACTCGCAACAGAGTGCTGCTACATCGACTGACAAATAGCCTGACTCGCAACGGAATGCTGCTACATCGACTGACAAATAGCCTGACTCGCAACGGAGTGCTGCTACATCGACTGACAAATAGCCTGACTCGCAAGGGAATGCTGCTACATCGACTGACAAATAGCCTGACTCGCAAGGGAGTGCTGCTAAAACGACTGACAAATAGCCTGACTCGCAAGAGAGTGCTGCTACATCGACTAAGGGTTTGGTTTGGCCAGGCAGTCTATCAATTAAAAAAAAAAAATTAATTTTTAAAACTTTTTCTGGTCTGGTTTATTAACGCGCTCTTTAAAACTACAGTTTATGAGAAATATTTTTTGATGCTACGCAAGAGACATGCAAGAGTATATATATATATATATATATATACATATATATATATATATATATACATATATATATATATATATATATATATATATATATATATATATATATACATATATATATATATACATACATACATACATACATACATACATACATACATACATACATACATACATACATACATACATACATACATACATACATACATACATACATACATACATACATACATACATACATATACTACACTCAATGCATAAGTTAAGTCCCAATTTTTGCGCTCTTATGGTAAAAAGTATGCTTTAATTTTTCAAAAAAAGAAGAAAAAAACCATCAAAATAATGAAAGAAAAGATTGCTACTTCATGCCAAAACCTAAACCTTGATGTATACCGAATCCCCTGCAATTTTCTGTTTTTTTATGATGTCATTTGTGTGCGTCTAATGCTGCATTTATATGTGTATATATATATATATATATATATATATATATATATATATATATATATATATATATATATATATATATATATATATATATATATATATATATATATATATATATATATATATATATATATACACAAACACACACATATAAAAAAAAAGTTATTAAAAAAAAATAATTATTTCAAAAAAATTTGCGCAGAAACTTAAAAATCAACCAATAAAAAATTATGCTAAAGCTATTTGCGCATTGTATGAAATATTAATACCAATTTTTGTTTATAGGGAAAGTTTAAGGAATTATTCGTTTAAAAATGTAAATGTTTTAAATTAGAAACTAATTAATTGATAATAAAAAAAATAATAATAAAAAAGATAGATTTTAAAATAAGTTATTAGAGTTTTTTTATTAGAGATTTGAATTAACTATAAAAAGCTTAAATTAGTTTTTATATATATTTGTACTCCTCTTTATATAATATATAAAATCTAATATACTTGTATTACATACTACTCTGCCTTTAATTTTGTATACATATCTGCAAAACAGTAATGAGCATTTAATTTATAAGAAAATATTGAATAAAATTTAAGCAAGAAATAAAAGTAATTTGTATCTTATTTAACAATTTTTTTTATTTAAAACATTTGATTGCCACCAAAATCTTTTAGACTGTTGTGATTAGTGGTTGTTTTTTAATCAATAATTAGTACTTTTTTGTACTTTACTTTTCTAGTTTTATGTGATGATTTATAAAATGAATTATAATATCAAAGTTTAAATCATAGTCTTTAATGATAATAAAAATAATAGAAATCATTTAATATGGATAATATGGTTTTATGATTTTATATCATAGTTCAATATCATTATAAATATTTTTTTATTGAATAACAGCTATTGAGTTAAGTGATCAAAAAAGAGTTTTACGGTTTTTAAAAAGCTAAAAATATAAAGACCGGAAGCATTTTCAGATATAACAACTCGCAATCACTTAATTTAAATCCTGTATATACATACATAGATTAAAGATTAAATAAAATAAGATGCGGTTGCACTGTTTTCTACGAAATCAAGAGAACTGTGGTTTGATGACTATTCTAGATTCTTTTTTGACATAAAGCATGGTTAGGAAGGAGGTATGAACTTCCTATTAAATGCTCTTTTGCAGTGCATATGATTCTTAGGGCACCTAATATAACCACAGAAAAAATGTATATACATGAATTTTTGAACTACATTAATACATTTTTGAAACCATTTCGGATTTGGATTTGTTTGATCCAAGACTTCAATAGCAGTATTTTTTAAAAAAACATCATTTGAGATCAAAATGAGGTAAAAATCATAGAGTTTGTTGCATTACTGGAAATGAGCTCAAAGATCAACAAAAAATCACTTTACCATAGCTAAAGTGTTAATTTAACTATCATATAGAGTGAAAGATAGATACAACATATTTCTTAAAATTAATAAGCACAGTGTTTTTTTTTTGGTACAAGAACACATTAAGAAAATATTGTTGAAAAAATTAACTGGGTTTGGCATCAGGATCTATTTGCGCCAGTGCTAGGAAATTGTTCTAAATTTAGTCAAATATCGTAAAAAACATAACATTGAACAATCAGCGCAAATACTTCTAACAAGAAAGAAAAAAATTTCATACAAATATGACCCCTACATCACTCAATAGCCACTCCGCATAAAAATTGGTTGTCGAAAAAAAATGATTGCACTGACTAATATATATATACACATAAATATAAACCTTTCTCTCATATCTTTTAAGCTTGTAGCCAGAGCAAGTATGGCCATAATTTCACTTCCCACAGATATATCAAATTGACACTTAAAAAAAATTATAACCAATTATAAATAAATTATAAACTGTTTATATTTCTAACGAGTAATAATATTTATCCATCAACACAAACTTGTTCTTTGATATAGATTTATAACAAAATGCACATTTAAGATTTTTAAATTTCCTAAACATCTAATATATTAATAAAAAATTTATATTGAAAAAAAAAATTATAAAATTGTTATACCTCCCGAGCATGATCAATCTCAGTTTGAGCTTGACCAATTGTTATCTTTCTCAAGAATCTGTCATTTGTATCCATTACTAAATCATAATATATTTATTATACCCTTTTTATTATCCCCCTCTCTCAATACAATGAATGCAAACTTTGACAGGTTAGGCCCATTAAAAAAGAAACAAGTGTGCAGTACGCAAAGGTTCCCTTTTAAGTCCTTTTGCACAAAACTGTACTGTTACTAAATCAATACCACAAAAAAATACAAAAATTTTTTTCTCAGTATCTATCAACTTAAATGAATCATTATAAATAAAGCACTATCATTACCTCTTTGCCAAGTGATGGTATCTTTGTCAAAGTTCAATCGAACAAATTTACTTATTTCATTTGAACTTAAACTGTCAGGATCAGTCTTGTTAATTCCAAGTTTCTAAAATAAACTAAAATGTCAATTTATTTTAATAGAATTATTTTATAAACATTTAAACAATTAGTAAATTACAAATATTACTTGTTAATATATAAACATAGATAGTAAAACAAAAAAGTAATCATTCAACATGATTTATATGTTTAGCAAACAGCAACAATAGCCAATATTGTTGTTGTCGGTGACATTAATGCTTATCACACTGAATGGCTTGGCTCTAGTGTCAGTGACTCTGCAGGCTATATAGCCCACAACTTTTGCCTTTTACAATACCTAACTCAAATAGTCAATTTTCCAACTCACTGCCCAGACAACCCGAATCATTTACCTTCTCTACTCAACCTATGTCTTGTTTCTGATCCTAGTCAGTGCTCAGTTTCTCCACATTTACCATTAGGTGCTTCTGATCACAGTTTGATCTTTCTAAAACTATTATCTCATTCTTTTTCATCATCAGAATCCCCCTATCATCGTACATCTTACAATTTACTTAAAGCTGACTGGGACTCTTTCCGTGATTTTCTTTGTGATGGCCCTTGGGTAGAAATCTTCCGTCTTCCTGTTGACAAATGTGTCTTACATAACTTCTTGGATTCAAGCTGGCATGGAATCTTTTATTCCCTTCCGACAATTTCAGGTCAACCCTCACTCTTCTCCATGGTTTTCCTCACATTGTGCTGCTGCAATTGCCAATTGAAAACATTACTTACATATCTAGCAACAAAACAATTTTCCAGAAAACAGATGTCTGTTTATTACTGCTAGAAACCATTGTAAAAAGGTTTTGTCTAACGCCAAAGCCCGCTATTCTCAGGTCATGAAATGTCATATTTCATTACAAAAATTAGGCTCTCATGACTTCTGGAGAATCTTTAATAGTATCAATAATAAGGCCAAATCTGTAATTCCACCTCTCTTGTATGGTTCAGACTTTGTCACCTTTTAGTACTTAATAAGACCTCTTTAGTACTTAATCCACAGCAATGAACCTTGTTTTAAAGCAAACCATTCAACAGTCGAGCATTTTGTTTATATTTTTTTCAAGTAATAAAAAAAAAAAACTAACAAGACGCTCTGCAATGATTATGATGCACAAATTTATTGAAGATTTTTTTTGCCACACCAAAATGTCTGTGAAACAATTTGAACTAATACCAAATTTTAAAGAATAAAAATTTATTAGAAAAGTTAATATAAAAGCTCATGATTGTAACCACATGATAATTGTAATCACCTAATAACTTTATAACAATAACATGGCTAATGGAGTAATTTTTCTAAATAAAGTTGACCCACATAAAATATTTACATAATTGTTAAAACTAACAAATTAAAATTTAAATTTAAAAAAATATCTTTACTAAATAATAAATCTTTAGAAAACAAACAAGTTTAAATGTTTTAAAAAAGTTTACAGTTTGTTAACAAACTTACTGGCTAACAAACCTACTATTGGTGTTGTTTAACAAATAGCAAAAACTTATTACATAAATTGACTAAGTTAACAATGTGAACCAAAGTGCACTTTGATTCTGCAAAGTTACTTTTGTTTACTTGTACACAATTTGTACAACAACAGACTGTACACAATATATGGTACTCAAACTTTTTGAGTGAGTTTTTGAAATCTTGTCTAAGCGATAATAATTAAAAACAGGGTGAGTCTATTAAGGTCTTAGACCTATTCAAGAACATATAAAAAATATGTTGTTTTTTTAGCATAAGAACAAATAAAAAAACTGAACTAGATCTCAAATGTTCGCTCAAAACATTTTACTAAAAGTAATTTACAGATTACAGCCCTTAGAATTAAGAAAGATGAGGTTGGCAATAAATTGATGACCTTAAACTGTTAGAATTTTGACAAAAAGTTTTTACCATAAAATATAGAAACAAGGTCGGTATTTTTTGTTGACTACAAACACTTTTAGGTCAGCATTTAGGTTAGGATTGCTGAATTCTGAGGGTTTAGCATACTTGTCTAGTTTTTTACAATGAGCAATTATATCTGTGTATTTATGTTCAATAAAAAATGTTCAACAAAACAAAATGTGCTACACATTTTAAATTGCTGAACATTTTGATTTCAAAACTGAGTTATTTTTTCTTCAGGTATTACTTTTATCTAATACTATCTAAAGCTGAATTGTTTGATTTTTTCATCAATATCATCTCTTGATTCCGCTAGTTGCGTTCTACTTGATACAGCCATCAAACAGATTGATCCATTGCTTGACATTCATATCACTCCAGCTTCTGTATCTAAAGTGATTTCCTTAGACTCTTCTATAGCTTGTGGCCCGGACAACATACCTGTTATAGTCTTGCAGAAGTGTTCTGCGGAGCTGTTGTCTATACTTTCAAAACTATTCAACAAGTACTTAACAGAGTCTTGTTTCCAGCCTTCTGGAAAGCAGCATCTGTTATCCCTATTTTTTAAAATTCTGCAGAGCAATCTGATTCATCTAACTACAGCCCCATTAGTCTTCTTCCTATCATAAGCAAGGTTTTTGAATCTTTAATTAACAAGCACTTAATCTCTCATATTGAATCCAATAACATACTTTCTGATCATCAATATGGATTTCGATCTTCTCGTTCTACAGCTGATTTGCTAACAGTATTAACTGATGGGTTTTATTGCGCATTAGATAAAGGTGGAGAGGTTAAGGCCATTGCTCTTGACATTTCTAAAGCGTTTGATAAGGTTTGGCATGCTGGTCTTCTCCATAAGCTTTCTTTTTACAGTGTATCTGGAAACATCTTTAAGATTATTCAATCCTTACTTTCCAATCGTAGTATAAAAGTTGTCCTTGATAGACAGCACTCTTAATCTTATTCTGTAACTTCAGAGGCCCCTTACGATTCAATCCTTGGCCCTATACCCTTTTTAATTTACATTAATAATACTCCAGATATTCTCACATCTAAGGTGGCATTGTTCGGTGATGATACAACCATTTATTCTTGTCATTATAAGAAGCCAACACTCTCTATTTGCTTAGAGGGGAAAAATGATCTCACTTCTGCTAGAGCATGGGGCTCACAGTGGCTGGTGAACTTTAATTAAGATAAAACTTAATTTTTTTCCAATCGTTATTGCAACAATCTAGATCTTCCTATATTTATGAACGGTAATGTACTCTTTTGTTTTTTTTTTATTTGCATTCACTACCAACAAGGCTGCAAGCAACCACTATTAAGTTGGGAGTTACTAGGAAAAAAAAAAGAACAGAGTTATAGAGCAAGGAAACGGTTGACAGAAGACTTGAAAAGTTGAAGGTTGTATGAGTCAGGAAAACATGAAAATGGGAGAGAGTTCCAAAGGATTGAAGTGCGGAGAAAAAAACTAGATAATTAAAAGTTTTTAGAGCATGCAGGGACAGATACAGTAAACGAAAGAGACTTAGCTGAATGACGAGTAAAACAAGAACGAATTTTAGTTGATGGAACTAGAGACGATAACTCCTTTGAGCAGTGACCATGATAGTATTTGTAGAAAAGGGAAAGAGATGCAACTTTACGACAATGGGAAAGAGGTTCAAGCTTAGCAGATAGTCCAGGTTCAACAACATTTACAATGCATTTTTGGACCTTGTCAAGAAGAGAAAGTGAATCGTTAGAAGAACCAGCCCAAATATGACAACAGTATTCCATACAGGGACGAATAAGAGATTTGTAGAGGTAGAGAATGGAATCAGAAGTAAGGAAATGGCGAGCACGATAAAGAGAAGCAACCTTAGCAGAAGCTAATTTAGCAATCGATTGTATATATGTGGTTTCCATGAAAGGTCAGTAGTAAGCAATAATCCAAGAAGACGTAAAGAGGACGACTCATTAAGAGGATTGCCATTCATTAATATAGGAATGTTGACCATATAACGGTAGTTGTTTGCAGTAAACAACTGGGTTTTGTTAGAGTTGAAATTCACAAGCCACTGTGAACCCCAATCTATTACTGAAGTGAGATCGGATTCAAGATCAGCTGCTTGTTCTAGGCGATCGAAAAGAGAAGACTTTTTGTCAAGACAGGAGTATAAAGTTGAGTCATCAGCAAAAAGAGCTACTTTAGATGAAAGGTTGTCGGGAAGATCGTTTATGTAGATAAGAAACACTCGATGAGTCATGACTCGATGAGTCATCTATCCTTCATCTTCTAGGATTAACTCTTACTTCTGATCATTCTTGGAAACCTTATATCAAATCCGTTGCAAAATTAGTATCTGCTTAAGTTGCATCACATTATCGAGCTTGACACTTTCTTACTCTGGATTCTATTCTCTATCTCTATAAATCTCAAATCCGGACTTGTATGGAATACTGTTGCCATATCTGAAACAACAATAATTTGCGAAAAATTCTCTGAGATTAATAACCGTTTTTGTCACATTAAATAATTATTTTATAAAAATAGTTATCACAACTTTTAAACAGTTAAAAACCAAATAATTAATTATTACATAAAATATTTTGCATCATAATATATAATGCATTATATAATATATTTCATAAAAGCCTATTAAAAGTAAAATCATCATATCATAAAAACCTATTGTTGTAAATTTACCATTTAATTAAAAAATTCAAAAAGCTTTTTCTTACTTTCAGTCTTTTAAACATAATAGGAGAAAAAGTACGAACACCATTTTTAATGGGAACTAATCGATTCCATAGAGCCTAAATGACACCATGGGTTAATTAATTCAATATTAGGCTTTAATACAATAATTTTATATAAATATAATAATATATTTCATATATATTTTACATAACATTATATAAAGTAAGATTTCATAGGGGTTTCAACAAAGATTTTATGGGGTGACGATGTAACACTTATGCGCATTTTATTGGCTACTTAAAAATCAAGTTATTAAAGAAATTGATAATTAAATTTAAGAATAAAGTAAATAATTGAAAATTAAAAGCCATTAAAAACCTAAAACAAGAAACAAAATACCATATCTTTTTGTGTTGCCTCATGTAGAATTCTTGCATCTATTGCAGCAGCTAAAATTAAAAAAATTTTATAAACTTTTATAAAATAATTTTGTAACTTCAAATATTATTTCAAAGCTTTAGTGTTAGAAGAATCAATTGTGATTGAAACAAGGAAAAAAAGAAACAGAATATTCTTGCCAAGTAAGTTGTTTGCAGCAGTGATGGCGTGAATATCACCAGTTAAATGCAAATTAAACTAAATAACCAATGAAACAAAAAAATCAAGATTGACCAATGAAATATTAAAAACCATTAACAGCAAATCAAAACACATCAAACATTCTCTTTTCAATAAAACTTAAAAAAGTTATAATAAAAATTTCCAGGTGTTAAAATAAGATATAAAACAAAATAAAATAAAAAATAAAATTAAATAGTCAAAACAAGTATATCTGGTTGAAAAAAAACAAGAGATAAAAAAAACAAGAGATAATAAACAATTTCAGCAGGGAATTTTTTACTTTTTAAAACTAACTAAAAAAGATTAGCTCATGTGTTAATGCTTATGTTTTAAAGATTTTTTGATAAAAATAAGTACATGACAAGAGACAAATAAAACATGCCATTTCAAGTTAAGCCTCATTCTGCCTCATAGTTTTTTATGTCTTTCTCTATTCTAGATAGATTTCTTGTCTTTGTTAATATCCTATGATATTAACAAAGACAAGTCTAACATTTTATTTCTAATGTATGAATCTGATCATATTACCTCTCCCATAGATAAAGCAGATCTACTAGCAAACATTTTTTCCACTAATTCATCTTTTGAATCTAATGACCACCTCTTTGAATCCACCCTTTTTTTACCATTTCAAAGAAACAGGTTAATCCACTGTTTTACATACTACTCATTCCTGCTTCCATTGTTGTTTGCATGCTGTCAAAGCAATCTTTTCAAAAGACTATGCAGACAACATTCCTGTCAAAGTCTTTTGAAAATGTTCTCTTGACTTCTCTTCGTTACTCTATGATCTATTTAACAAATAGTTAACTTATTTAACCACTATTTAACAAGTAACACTATTAACACTATTTAACCAGCCTTATTTTCCTATTACTATAAAAGTTTCCTGATTTTGAAAATTTGAAAAAAATTAGTATTGTACAGTTTAAAAATGAATCAAAATAGGTGTTAATACTTATGGATTTTAACATAGAAAATGATTGACGTTTCTATGGTAAATAATAGAGAAAAAAACAAAAAGATTATCCTTTTATAATAGGAGATTAAGGCTATTGTTAATATTGACAGTAATAGGAAACATTTATAAATTCCTCTCCAACCTACCATCCCAACCAACCCTCGACACACCCCCACGTCCGCCAGACAGAATGAAACAAATGAAGACGGAGCAGGACCTTCTAAATTGCCTAGACGAGAAAGCTATGTTGATGATGCCAGAACAGAGCCTGGACCATCTATGTATGAAGGATCTGCTGTGGATAGTAAAAATATCGAAACGAATGTTTATTTAGAGTGCGAACAATCTGATAAAAGCGAGGGAATGACGTCTGAGAAAGGCAAAACAAATATTATTGAGATATCGTCAGAAGACGATTGGGAAGAAGAAGAGTCAGGGTGCTGTGATAACATAACCAGAACAGATAGGTGCAAGGAACTTAAACTTGACAATTCGGTAAGAATACTTACTAATGAGGACATTTTACAGTTATTTTGTGTAAATTTGTTAGATAAATTTGTAAATAAATAATTTTAGGAAATATTATGCTTTAATTCCAACATAAGACGCGGGTTTGATATATATCATGTGATACATTCAGGAAAGCCCACAGAGAGTATCTGGTATAATCAAAAAGAGTCGAAATGCGACGCCTTGGACATTTGCTCTAAGACCCACATCGTATGTAAATACTTTGACGGGAAAGAATCGGAGCATAGCGGAAACCTACACACACACGTCATCCTTGCAACATATGTCCTCGAACGAGCCGAACGATGCCAAGAAGCAGAAGCATTGCGAATTAGAAGAGCATATTTTAGAGCACGCCAGTACCTCTGCAGAGGATGCGCTGACATTACCCGTAAACGATACGGACATCACTGCTCGACGTGTAACAGTAGAATTTCGGTTAAGCACATTAATACCCCTAATTACTACAAGAATAGCATTAGCTACGTGCTTAACCGTGATTAACTATGTTAAATCACATATCACTTTTGACTTTGACAACATACAGGACGATATACCAATAACAATCAGACAACCTATAAAACAACAAATAAAACAAAACTTTGCCAACTATTTGTTCAACAAAAAAATCATGAATTCCAGACAGTACGACGACGAGTTAGCCAACAGCAAAGAACTACGAAATTTAGAATTTACAATCTTACTAAAAGACTTAGAGATAATAAAAAAGACTATATTCAGACAGGTGTACCTACAACAACGTAACACAGACGTATTAACACCACGTATAGTTGTTTCAAATGACAAATCACGCTTGGGTGCTCTGATGTTCTTTCTATCAAACATCGCACTACAAAACCAAATCTCAGTCAATAGGCTAAAGCAATTACTTTGCAACTTTATTTTCAATCTAAACCATAAAAAAAGAGGACTCATTCTTTGTGGACCATCAGACTCAGGTAAAACTTTTCTTGCTAACCTTTTATATTCTAGCTTTAAACCACATGAAATTGGATACTTCAACTGCCCCACTGGACCTAACCCATCTGCATTCCTATTGCAAGCATTAAGTAATTGTTTAGCCTATAGATGTGACGAAATGGTTTTCGAGCACCTAGGTGTGATTCAGTTAATGAAACAACTATTGGAAGGGTCAAACACACTAACAACAGACGTCAAATACAAAGATGCGATGCCCATCGATCCACATCCGACTCTAATCACCATGAACTCTTCATCAAAATTCGACATCTTAAAATGGCATCCATCTGAGTATCAGGCGTTTGAGAATAGGTGTACAATACTCTTCCTACGTACACCGCTACTTAACATATTTAACGACAAGGAACTCAGGGAAATAAACATCTGTGGTCCAGAATTGTTATATATGCTAAGTATGCATAAACAAGACAAAGACAACGATACTGCGGGGGTACTGGATAAATTCAAAGATTATATTTTTTTATAAATAACATTTTTTTTTTGTATAAAACTTTTATTAAAATATATAATTTACATAATTTTTTGCTTTTTTTCTCCGGGTTCATCATTATCTAACTGTTCTACTTTAGCAATAAACATAGTACTAAAGGCAGGATAAAAAATCTTCTGATAAGAATTAACAAATGTTATTTTAGGATTATTTTTAACACATGGATTAGCCATAGTCACTGTAGTATAGGTAGCATCTTTACCAAAACGTGATTGCTTAATAGTAGGACGTTTATAGTTCTCATTAACAGGCTCAACTCGAGTACGGTCATATGTCCAATCTTTGTCAAACACCTAAACTCTATGTTTAAGTCGCAAACGACCACGAACAGTAGTAGGCATTACATCTTTACCAATATAAGCTGGATCAATACAAAAATATAAACGTTTACAATTCTTATTACCACTAAAAGGCATAACTGTAGGTAAATTGTTCCAATATGTATTATTAACATTTTCAGTATATTTATCCCCAGCACAAATGTCATAATTAGAACGATTTTTAAACAAAACAGCAGAATGATCAAACTCGTCGTAAGGTTGCAAAAATACATCAAAACATTGTTCAATATTATATGGATCTCGTGAATCCGCACAATAAGGCGTAATAGCATTAAATATACAGCCTATATTACCGGTGTTATATTGTTCATAAGGAGAAACTCCCTGTCTTTGCAAATACCATCTGTCTAACTGAACAGGATAACGTATATTTTTACGCTTATCGTCACCTTCAGAAACAATAGAACGTGCAATAAGATTTTTAATTCCATAATTAGGCATATGAATATGACCAAAACGATAATCACAAGGATAAGTATTAATAATAGACCAATTCTCATCAAAAAATCCCTGAGCTTTCTGTTTATCAAGAGACGCAGTAGAATCAATAAATTGACCGCCAGGATCAAGTGAGGTATCAGTAAACTTAAATGATCTAGAGGTATACGGATCATTTACAAGTAACTTTATAGGCTTACGCAAACCAATATCATTCTTCCAAACAATGCTATGTATAACTTTTTCAGCTACATTATTCTTCTCAAAAAATCTAGGATCTTTAGTACTTACAACATTAGAAAATCGCGTAGTAACAGGTTTACCAGCCTTGTCATTAAAAAACAAAGAATTCTCCAACAACTTAACAGAAGGCAAAGGACTAGGTTTTTTATCAGCCGAACTAAGTTTCAAATTGACCATTTTAGCCCAATCATCTGAATCTGCTAACGGATAACAAACATCAGATATTAATTGATCCCCTTCAACATCGAAAAATCTCAAACCAATATTTGACATTTCCAAAGGTACAGAAGAATTCTGTGTAGTTTTTAATTGATTTTCAACGCGAATGTCCAAAACATCACATTCAACAGACTTATCAACATAATAAATTCCACCAGTAGCCATCCAATATTGATCGGGATTAGTCCAGAGATTAGGGTAATCAACGGGAAAATAATATACATTTTGAACAGTATCATTGGTACAATCAACACACCAATATATAGATTGCTCGACACAAAATTCATCATAAAACCCTTTACTGCAATCAAACCCTCTTTCGATAACGAAATCGGGTGATGCGCTGACTTCGTGATTCGGGGGTTGCTCTGCCATTAATTACGTGATAACCTCTTTGCGACCAACCGTTTCTTCCTTTTGGATGAACGAATATTCTTCTGTGTGTCCGCACCATAAGCAGCTGCTACATCAAATGAATAATTTCCAAACAACTTCTCTAATATAGCAGGACTCTCCTTCATAACACTCCATGGCATTGCATATTTAGGTAATTCATCATAAAACTTAGGAAACTGATAAGGCTCAAAACTATATTTATACATCTGTTTAGCAATATTAGCCTCTTTAATATAAGGTATTTCTTTAGGATCATATATATCAACATTGCCAGGTTTAAGTCTCATATAATCAGGTAATTCGTCTTGCGGTACAGGTTGATAATCAGGATCATAATTCCAACCTTCAACACTTTCTGATACAGTACTCATATCAGTAATATTACCTACTTTAGTTGAATTAGAATATACAGAGC